GTAATTTTATATAATTATAATAAGTTTTTTTGATCAGTTAGTTGGACTAAATTAATGGCTATATATATATTTGTGTAGATATTGAACGCTAGGAACGGTATCTGAAAACGTATAGCAGTTTTGTGATGAGTTTCAGTGATACACCTGAAAGATATGTATCGTTTGTTTGTCATCCGATTGATTGAGCAAACAGTCTAAGGACTAATCAAATGAAATACCAATATTTACTTTAATATAGTTTTTAATTGATTTTTTTTTAAATATAATATTTATTTAATAATTTCTATTGAATTACTGTATTTTTTATTATTAATTTAGTTTTGTAGAAAAAATTACAAAAATAATTGCAATGATTGTTATTTAGAATATAATAGATTATAATTATTTGCTGAAATTTGTTAATATTTTAATAATTTATTTATAATATTTATTTTATAAAAAACTAGAATCAAAATTAGAAAATTACTTTTACTATATATATACATTGTATATATATATACATGTATATATATTGTTAGTTTGTATTTTGTAATAAAATTGTAAAACTTGTTTGTAAATAAAGTTTGTATTGTAACTAATAAATCAAAACTTATTTATGACAATTAGATTTATGATAATATTATTTTATTTTATTGAAAAACATTGATTACATTCATCGACAATACATTTTTAATTGGTTTAATTAATGTATGTTTTCGTTGATGTCGTAAAAGTCCAGATTTAGTAGCAAATTGTTTGTCACATTTGTCGTCGACATCACATTTGAATGACTTTATATTTTGATAATGAGTTAATTTATGTTGTCTTAAATATTTTAAATTTGTAAAATATTTGCCACAACTATTGTAATCACACTTAAACTGTGGTTCAATTGAATGATCTCTGGATATGTGTTGTCGTAAACAATGATTTGTTGTAAATGTTTTCAAACACTTGTTATTAACTGAACAATGAAATTGTTTTTTTGTCTTTAAATGAATTAATTTATGTGTTTTATAATTGCTTTTCAATGCAAATGTTTTATTACAATATTCGACATCACATTTAAATAATATTTGTTTTAAATGAAATTGAATTTCATGTGATTTAAGACAAAACTTTGTTGTAAATAATTTATTACAATTTTCATAAAAACATTTAAACTTTTTATTAAAATGAACACTAGATTTATGTCGATTCAAAATTGTATTTCCAGTAAAACTTTTGCCACAATCGTTGTAATCGCAAACATATTTCATATTTAAATGTTTAGATCTTTTATGACAATCTAAAGATGATTTAGATTTGAATGTTTTATTACATTTATTACATTTGATGTTAATATTATTTAAATGAATTGATTGATGTCCTAATAAATGTTGTTTTGTTTTACTATTGAACCGACATTTAGGCCAAAAGCACGTGAATCGCGTGTTATTGTTATCCACACGTGTGTTGTTGTTGTCATAACAGTCACTATAATCAATGATTTTCATTGAAATGCAATTATTTGTTGTTTGGATATTCATTGCATTCAAGCCATCAATTGTTTCAAACAATTCATAGCAATTGTTATTAATTTGTTGTAATTTTAATGACAAACATTTCAATTCATTAAATTTATTTAATTTATCAATAGTTTTGTTTAATAATAACTCCATAATTATTGTTTTTAGGAAAATTCACTAAAATATATCAAATAAATACTATTGTGTTGTTTTGATCGCACATTGATATCACATCAAACAATGATTAAAATAGGAAATGGATATCATATCACTGTATATAAGATATTTGTATTTAATCCTTAAACCTGTTTAATAATTGTTATTACATTTTACTTTAGGTATACTAATACTAATGTATAGGCGTTTTGATCTCACATTGAAAATCACACCAAAAAAATGTTTATCACAGGAAAATTAAATATCATTTTATATCTGAGTTTTTGTTTAATCTTTAAACCAATTTATTATCTGTTTATTAGTTCATTTACGGTAAAAGTTTTACCACATTTTTGCATTATTATCTGTTTGGCTGCCAATTAGCACAATAAGTGCATCTATTATCCTAACTATACATTAAACAACAAAAAAATTACTCAATTTTAATTGATTTATAAATAATTATTAAAAATATTAATTTTATTTTTATTAAACTTTTTATTGTATTATTGTTGTTTATGAATTAACAATTACTGTGTTATTTAGGATTATTGAATATATTTTATTTTTAATAAACCAATTGATTAATTAAATATCTAATAAACCATATTTGTGTGCAAATGTATATTAAGATATCAATGATTTTTCTTTACTAATTTATTCATTGATTATTAATTGTGATAATATTTTTATTTGATATTTATAATTTATTTTACTAATCATAATAATGGATAGTATAAGTATTTAATACATTTAGAAATATACTATAAATAAATTCATGAAATAATTATTTTAATTTTATAAATTATCATTATAGTTATAAAATTAAGTTTAGTAACTATACTAAAAAACATATCAAAAATAAATCTAAAATTATTTATGACAATAATATTTATGATAATTTAGTGAAGATTTTAGTGAAAAACATTTATTACATTYATTGACATTACATTTAAATGGTTTAATTCCTGAATGTTTTCGTTGATGTCTTAAAAGTTTAGATTTAATAGCAAATTGTTTGCCACAGTTATCGACATCACATTTGAATGGTTTTATAGTTAGATGAAGATTTTGTTTATGTTGTTTTAAATATATTAATTTTGTTAAATATTTTCTAAAGTTATTGTAATCACAAATAAATTTGGGTTCAATTGAATGATCTATTGATTAGTGTTGTCAGAAACAATGATATGTCGTAAATGTTTTTAAACAGCCGTTTACTGAACACTTGAATTGTTTTTTAGTCAAATGAGTTAATTTATGTATTTTATATTTGCTTTTAAGTGTCTGCAAATGTTTTATTACAATAATCAACATCAGATTTAAATACTGTTTGTTTTCAATGAAATTGAATTTCATGTGTTGTATTATTATTGTCTATRAATTAGTAATTATCTGCTATTTAGGATTATTGAATATATTTTTTTAATAACCAATTAAATTAATTGAAAATCATACAAAAAAATGTTTTTCATAGGAAAAGTAGATATCATTTTATATATGAATTTTTTGTTATGAATCTTTAAACCTATTTATTATCTGTTTATTAGTACTTTTACGGTAAAAGTTTTACCATATTTTGCATTATTATCTGTTTAGCTGCCAATTAGCACAATAAAGGGATCTATTAGTTGGACAGTTAGACACATATATAGACAGACACACACCGCACGACTCATATATTTGTTTATTTAATTATATAATATTACCGACGATGTCGGCCATTGTTTGGGACGTATTTTTTAATTAAAAAGTTTGAAAAACATTTTGTTGTCCAATGTATTTGATGACCGAAACCCATATTTGACTGCAAATCTTATTAATTTATTTGATTTACGATAACTATTTGACGGAAAATTTATTTATTTTGTTAAAAAGATTCAAAAAAATTAGACAAAAGTTTAATACTTTTTAAATTTTGTTTTTATAAATAATATTTATTAATCGAGTAATTAACGTTATTCACATAAATTATCATAAATATCAATGTCATACATAATTTAGTAAATATAAATTAATATACAAATCAATATATAATATATATTGTAATTAATTTTTTTTTTGATTTAATTATTTTCTCTTTAATCTCAAATTATTTTTAAATATATTATTTGTAATTTTTTTAAATTTATTTATAAGTATAAAAAAATTTCAATTAAAATTAATACAGAAAATTATCATAATCTTATCATATAAAATAATAATGTAATATAATATTAAATTTATTTTTATTGAAAAATTAAAAGACTAATTTTAAGAAAAATGATTTTTATTTATTTTGTTGCTGTTGAAAATCACTTATTATGCTAATATAATTATATTATAATATTTTAACTAATAAATAATATTTTTAATAAAAAAATAAACAGATAATAATAATTTTGTAAATTTCTGCTTATTATTACTAATTGTATTTAAAATAGATCTATAATTTAAACAATATTTTAATTAAATAATGAGTTACAGTTTTATATACATTTTTTTATATATATAATTTTATTTTATAAATATTACAAATAGGTTACTATTAATAATTCAATTAATAATTAATAAGTCATATACAATATAATTTTATAACATTATATATCCATTTCCTATGACTGACTCACTGTTTATATCAATTAAATGTGTTTTAGTATTTTATTAATCTTATATTATTAATATCTTATAATATAATAATTAAATTTAGTTATTTATTTGTTAAATAAAAATTGTGCTAAAATTTTAAACTAAATATATTTATAAAAAACTATATCATTAATTTTAAAACAAATTACAAAAAAATAATAATAATAATAAAATGGTGTGATTTGTGTAAAACAATTGAATACTAATAACAACAAATTCATTGCAATTTCAATGAAAATCAGTGATTATAATGACTGTTATGTCAACAACAACAACACACGTGTGGATAACAAGAATAACACGCGATTCAAGAGTTTTTTTGCCTAAATGTCGGTTTAAAACGAAAATTATTTAAATTATTACGAAAACTAAGTTAATTATTGATAAAATCAATGAAATAAAACATAAACTGATATCAGTTATAAATTTATATAAATATTAATATCCATTGCTATTGAATTAACACAATATAAGCATCAAAACTATTGTTTTGTTTGTTAAGACTCTGTATTTAGTAGTAGTTATTGTTTACCATTATTGGTGTTGTTTTAATAATTTTTAGTACAATTTATTAATATGGTGTTAATTAATGATAAAATGATAAATATTAAAAATAAATTGTGAATATATTAAGTGAATTGAAATCATTAAACAATAGGTATTATTAATAAAAAAAACAGTTTGTCACAAAATACTAATGTTTTGTGTGAACCGATTGATGGCTTGAATTCAATGAAAATCAGTGATGATAGTGATTGTTATGACAACAACACACGTGTGGATAACAAGAATAACACGCGATTCACGTGCTTTTGGTACAAAAAAAATGGTTAAATACAAGTAAGAGAAACATAAAAAATATTTAATTAGCTATCAATCATTTTTTTTCATAACATTTGTAATAAATAATTTAATTATAGAAATTATTTCTAATTTTTCTAAAAAACATTTATTACAATCATTGACATCACATTTAAATGGTTTAATTCCTGAATACTTTCGTTGATGTAATGAAAGTCCAGATTTAGTAGCAATTTGTTTACCACAGTTATCGACATCACATTTGAATGGTTTTATACTCAGATGAATATATCGTTTATGATGTCTTAAATGTTTTAAATTGGCAAAATATTTGCCACAACTATTGTAATCACATTTAAACTGTGGTTCAATTGAATGATCTCTTGATAGGTGTTGTCGTAAACAATGATTTGTTGTAAATGTTTTCAAACAATCGTTTACTAAACAATAAAATTGCTTTTACTTTAAATGAATTAATTTATGTTTATTATAATCAACTTTTGTTGAAAATGTTTTATTACAATATTCGACATCACATTCAAATAAATTTTGTTTTAAATGAACTCGACTTTCATGTGTTTTCTTATGAAACATTGTTACAAATATTTTGTCACAATTTTCATAAAAACATTTAAACTTTTTATTAAAATGAACACTAGATTTATTTTGTTTTAAAATTGAATTTCTATTTATAGTAAAACTTTTTCGACAATCGTTGAAATCGCAAACATATTTCATATTTAAATGTTCAGTATTTTTATGATAATATAGTATAAAGTTGTATATCATATCACTGTATATACAGATTTATATAAATTTATTTGTATTTAATTCTTAAACCTGTTTAATAATTTATAACTTTTTACTTTAGGTTACCATAAATACTGTATTTTTATTGTTGTAATTTTGTTTTGATTAAATATTATTAAAACTTATTTTATCATTATATTAATACAATGAATGAATATTTGAATTTATGCTTTAAAATACATTAATTGATTTTAACATTAGAAACGGTATCTGAAAATGTATAGCAGTTTTGTAATGAGTTTCAGGGATACACCTGAAAGATATGTTTAGTTTGTTTGTCATCCGATTGATTGATCGATCAAACAGTTTGAGGACTAATCAAATGAAATAAAAACATTTTTTATTATTTAAGATAATTTTAATTTAAAAATAATATTTTATTAATAATTTCTATTGATTTACTGTTTTTATTATTAATTTAGTTTTTTAAATAAAAAATTACATAAATAATTGCAATAATTGTTACTAAGAATATAAAATTTATAATTATTTGCTGAATAAGTTAATATCAAATATTTAATTTAAGAAAATATAGAAAAATACATATAAATATATTTTTGATAATTTACTTAAGCATATAATATAATTATTAAACATTCAATTGAATGATTTGTTGTAAAACTAATTATAAAAAAAAATACTTCATTAAATAATTATTATGATTTTATAAATTATCATTATATTTATAAAATTGAATTAATTTCACATATGTGATTGCAATTTTTAAATAATTTTTTTAAAAAAAACACTAAAAGAATAAATCTAAATTATTTATGACAATAATATTTATGATAATTTAGTGAAGGTTTTTGTGTAAAACATTGATTACATTCATTGACATCACATTTAAATGGTTTAATCTCCTGAATGGTTTCGTTGATGTCTTAAAAGTCCAGATTTAGTAGCAAATTGTTTGCAACAGTTATCGACATCACATTTGAATGACTTTATATTTCGATAATGAATTCGTTTATGTTGTCTCAAACATAATAAATTGGCAAAATATTTGTCACAACTATTGTAATCACATTTAAACTGTGGTCCAATTGAATGATCTCTGGATATATGTTGTCGTAAACAATGATTTGTTGTAAATGTTTTCAAACACTTGTTTACTGAACAATGAAATTTTTTTTTGTTGTCTTTAAATGAATTGATTTATGTTTATTATAATCACCTTTTGTTGAAAATGTTTTATTACAATATTCGACATCACAATTAAATAGTTTTTGTTTTAAGTGAAGTTGATTTTCATGATATTTAATACCAGATTTTGTTTTAAATATTTTATTACAATTTTCATAAAAACATTTAAACTTGTCATTAAAATGAACATTAGATTTATGTCGATTTAAATATGAAACTGTATTAAAATTTTTGCCGCAATCGTTGACATCGCAAACATATTTCATATTTAAATGTTTAGCTCTTTTATGACAATTTAAATATGATTTAGATTTGAATGTTTTATTACAATCATTACATTTAATTTCAATATTATTTAAATGAATTGATTGATGTCCTAATAAATGTTGTTTTGTTTTACTATTGAACCGACATTTAGGCCAAAAGCACGTGAATCGCGTGTTATTGTTGTTAACTACATGTGTGTTGTTGTTGTTGTCATAATAGTCACTATAATCAATGATTTTCATTGAAATGCAATTATTTATTGTTTGGATATTCATTGCATTCAAGCCATCAATTGTTTCAAACAATTCATAGCATTTGTTATTAATTTGTTGTAATTTTAATGACAAACATTTCAATTCATAAAATTTATTTAATTTATTAATAGTTTTGTTTAATAACTGCTCCATTATTATTGTTTAGAAAATTTGACTAAAATATCAAATAAATACTATTGTGTTGTTTTCATAGCACATTGGAATCACACCAAACAATGATTAATGTAGTAAATGGATATCATATCACTGTATATATGATATTTGTATTTAATCCTTAAACCTGTTTATAATTGTTATTACATTTTACTTTAATTGTACTAATACTAATGTATAGGTATTTTGATCCCATATTGAAAATCACACCAAAAAAATGTTTATAACAGGAAAATTAAATATCACTTTATATCTGAGTTTTTGTTTAATCTTTAAACCAATTTATTATCAGTTTATTAGTACTTTTACGGTAAAAGTTTTACCACATTTTTGCATTATTATCTGTTTGGCTGACAATTAGCACAATAAAGGCATCTATTATCCTAACTATACATTAAATAAAAAAAATTACTGAATTTTATTTGATTTATAAATAATTATTATTTTTTTTTAATAAAACAATTGAGTAATTAAGTATTTATAATTATAAGTAATTATAAAACTTTCAATTTAATGAGTTGTATAAAACTTTTAAAATACTTGTTTACATTGAACAATGAATTTGTTTTTTAGTTTAAATATTTTTTTCTTATGATTTATATTCACATTAAATAGCAAATGTTTTATCTCAATACTCGATATAATATTTATTATTTATATACTTTTATTAATTGTGAAAATATATTTTTATTTAATATTTATAATTTAATTAAAAAAAACAAATAATTGATTTAAAGTTTAAATTTATGAATTAACAATTTTTGTGAATAATTATAATATTAAAGCTATTAATGTATAATTTATTTTTTGAATATTTTTTTAATAACCAATTGATTAATTAGGAATCAAGTATATTTTGTTAAATATAATAATTATTAGTATAAATTTTTAAAAAATATTCAGTAAATAGTTATTTTGTTTATTTTACTTAATTAATAAATTATCATTTTATATAGTATTAAGTTTAATTATTTTTATTAACATATCAAATTAAATCTAAATTATACATTAATAAACATTCATTGATTATTAATTGTGAAAATATTTTATTTGAAATTTAAAATTTATTTTAATAAACAAAATAAATGATTTTTAAGTATTTAATACATTTTGAAATCTACTTTGAAATAAAAGTATAAATAAAAAAATATATGTTTATTGAAATTGATATTAAATCATGAAATAATTATTTTGATTTCATAAATTATAATTATTTTTACTAATTAACAATATTTATTTATTTATGACAATAATATTAAGTTTTGTTATATTTTTTAAAAAACATACCAATAATAAATGTAAAATTATTTATGACAATAATAATTATGATAATTTAGTGAAGATATATCTGAAAAACATTTATTACATTCATTGACATTACATTTAAATGGTTTAATTCCTGAATGTTTTCGTTGATGTACTAAAAGTACAGATTTAGTAGCAAATTGTTTGCCACAGTTATCGACATCACATTTGAATGGTTTTAAAATCAGATGAATATATCGTTTATGATGTCTTAGATATTTTAAATTTGTAAAATATTTTCTACAGTTATTGTAATCACACATAAATTGTGGTTCAATTGAATGATCTATTGATTTGTGTTTTAGTAAACAATGATTTGTTGTAAATGTTTTCAAACAATTATTTACTAAACACATAAATTGTTTATTTTTCAAATGAATTAATTTATGTGTTCTATAATTGCTTTTAGTTAGAAATGTTTTATTACAATATTCAACATCACATTTAAATAACTTTAGTTTTAAATGAAATTTAATTTCATGAGTTTTAAGACCAAACTTTGTTGCAAATATTTTATTACAATTAACATAAAAACATTTAAACTTATTATTAAAATGAACGCTAGATTTATGTTGATTTAAATGTGTATTTCTAGTAAAACATTTGCCACAATCGTTGTAATCGCAAACATATTTTATATTTAAATGTTTAGACCTTATATGACAATTAACTGATGACTGAGATTTGAATGTTTTATTACAATCATTACATTTGAATGGTTTATGAGATGAATGAATGAGTTTATGATTAACTAAATCGCTTTCTTTATTAGTTTTAAACCGACATTTAGGCCAAAAACACTTGAATCGCGTGTTATTGTTGTTATCCATACGTGTGTTGTTGTTGTTGTCATAACAGTCACTATAATCAGTGATTTTCATAGAAATGCAATCATTTGTTGTTTTTATATACACTATATTCAAGCCATCAATTGTTTCAATCAATTCATAGCAATTGTTGTTAATTTGTTGTAATTTTAATGACAAACATTTCAATTCACAAAATTTATTTAATTTATTAATAGTTTTGTTTAATAAAAACTCCATTATTGTTTAGAAAATTTAACTTAAATATATCAAACAAATACTATTGTGTTGTTTTGATCGCACATTGAAATCACACCAAACAATGACTAAAATAGGAAATGGATATCATATCACTGTATATATAGATATTTATTTGTTTATTCTTATTAATCCTTAAACCTGTTTAATAATTGTTATTACATTTTACTTTAGTTATACTAATACTAATGTATTGGTATTTTGATCCCATATTGAAAATCACACCAAAAAAATGTTTATCACAGGAAAATTAAATATCATTTTATATACGAGTTTTGTTTAATCTTTAAACCAATTTATTATCTATTTATTAGTACTTTTACGGTAAAAGTTTTACCACATTTTACATTATTATCTGTTTGGCTGCCAATTAGCACAATAAAGGCATCTATTATCCTAACTATACATTAAATAAAAAAAATTACTCAATTTTATTTTATTTATAAATAATTATTAAAAATATTAAGTTTATTTTTATTAAACTTTTTATTGTATTATTATTGTTTATGAATTAACAATTACTGTGTTATTTAGGATTATTATTTTTTTTTAATAAACCAATTGATTAATTAAGTATCTAATATATGTTTTAATATGATTTTTTTTAGTTTAAATATTTTTTTATGATTTATATTCACACTTAGTAGCAAATGTTTTATCGCAATACTCGACATAATATTTATTATTTATATACTTTTGGTTATTATGTGTGAAAATATATTTTTATTTAATATTTATAATTTAATTTAAAAAAAATAAATAATTGATTTAAAGTATTTATTACATTTTGAAATCTACTAAATAAAAGTATAAATACTTGTTTTAAAATATAATAAATTCATGAAATAAATATTTTGATTTTATATATTATTATAATATTTATAAACCAGTTGAGAATGTTATTACAATAGTCAAAATCACATTTAAATAATTTTAAGTGATCTTTAATTTCATGATATTTGATACCAGACTTTGTTGTAAATATTTTATTACAATTTTCAAAAAAAACATTTAAACTTTTTATTAAAATGAACGCTAGATTTATGTCGATTTAAATATATATTTCTAGTAAAACATTTGCCACAATCGTTGTAATCGCAAACATATTTAACATTTAAATGTTTATCTCTTTTATGAAAATCTAAATATGATTTAGTTTTGAATGTTTTATTACAATTATTACATTCAAATTGTTTTATAGATGAATGCGATAATTGATGTATTAGTAAAAGCTTTTCATTAGTGTTAATATACCGACATTTAGGCCAAAAGCACGTGAATTGCTTGTTATTATTGTTATCCACACGTGTGTTGTTGTTGTTGTCATAACAGTCACTATAATCAGTGATTTTCATAGAAATGCAATTATTTGTTGTTTGGATATTCATTGCAATATCCAAGGCATCCATTGCTTCACACAATTCATAGCAATTGTTATTAATTTGTTGTAATTTTAATGACAAACATTTAAATTCATAAAATTTATTTAATTTATCAATAGTTTTGTTTAATAATACAGTAATAAGTCGACATCACATTTAAATAATGATTGTTTTAAATGAAATTGAATTTCATGTCTTTTAATAGCAAACTTTGTTATAAATATTTTATTACAATTTTCAAAAAAGCATTTAAACTTTTTATTAAAATGAACGCTAGATTTATGTTGATTTAAATATATATTTCTAGTAAAATATTTCTGACAATCGTTGACATCGCAAACATATTTTTTACATTTAAATGTTTAGATTTTTTATGATAATCGCAATACTCGACATAATCTTTATTATAAATAAACTTTTTTTTTATTAATTGTGAAAAGATATTTTTATTTAATATTTATTATTTATTATTAGTATTTAATACATTAAGAAATTTACTAAATATAAAGTATAAATAAAAAAAATACTTGTTTTAAAATATAATAAATTCATGAAATAATTATTTTGATTTTATAACTTATCAGTATATTTATAAAATTGAATTGAGTATATAATTGTATATAAATATATATATAATTGTCATAATATAATTTACGACATCAACAAACAATACATTCAGGAATCAAACCATTTAAATGTTATGTCAATGAATGTAATGAGCAAATGTATTAAATATTTTTATTAATTCAATTATTTGGTTCAATATTAAATAAAAATATTTTCACAATTAATAATCAATAGTACAGTTTAATAAATAAATAAGCATACCAAAAATAAATCTAAAATTATTTATGACAATAATATTTATGATAATTTAGTGAAAATTTGTGTGAAAAACATTTATTACATTCATTGACATTACATTTAAATGATTTAATTCCTGTATGTTTTCGTTGATGTATTAATAGTTGAGATTTAATAGCAAATTGTTTGCCACAGTTATCGACATCACATTTGAATGGCTTTATATTCAGATGATTAGTTCGTTTATGTTGTCGTAAATATTTTAAAGTTGTAAAATATTTGCCACAACTATTATAATCACAAATAAATTCAATCGGTTCAATGAAATGATCAATTGATTTGTGTTGTCGTAAACAATGATTTGTTGTAAATGTTTTCAAACATTCACTAACTAAACAAATATATTGTTTTTTCTTCAAATGAGTTAATTTATGTTTATTATAATCGCTTTTTGATGCAAATGTTTTATTACAATATTCAACATCACATTTAAATGATTTTTGTTTTAAATGAACTCGAATTTCATGATATTTAATACCAGATTCTGTTTTACATATTTTACTGCAATTTTCATAAAAGCATTTAAACTTTTTATTAAAATGAACAATTGATTTATGTTGATTTAAATGTGTATTTCTAGTAAAACATTTGCCACAATCGTTAACATCACAAACATATTTAATTCTTAAATGTTTATCTCTTTTATGAAAATCTAAATATGATTTAGATTTGAATATTTTATTACATTTATTACATTCAAATTGTTTTATAGATGAATGCATTAATTGATGTATAAATAAATTATTTTCAATATATGTTTTATACCGACATTTTGGCCAAAAACACCTAAATTGCCTGTTGTTATCCACACGTGTGTTGTTATTGTTGTCATAACAGTCACTATAATCAGTGATTTTCATTGAAATGCAATCATTTGTTGTTTTGATATTCACTTCATTCAAGCCATCAATTGTTCCACACAATTCATTGAATTGGCTGTTAATTAGTTGTAAATTCAATGATAAGTTTTTCAATTTATTAAATTGATTTAATTTAATAATTGTTTTGTTAATTTGCAACTCCATTATTGTTTAGAAAATTTCAAACTAAAATATATCAAATAAATACTAATGTGTTGTTTTGATCGCACATTGAAATCACACCAAACAATGACTAAAATAGGAAATGGATATAATATCACTGTATATAGACTCTATATTATAGAGATATATATTTTATTTAATCCTTAAACCTGTTTAATAATTTATAATAACTTTTTACTTTAGATTAACATAAATACTGTATTTCTATTGTTGTCTAATTTTGTTTTGATAAACATTAGTAAAACCTAGTTGTATGATTATATTAAAACAATTAATGTATATTTTTTATTTATGCTTTAAAAGGTATATTATTTGATTAAATTATTTATAGTTTTATATAATTATAATTTTTTGTTTTTTTTTGGTCAGTGAGTTGGACTAAATTGAGGCCCATTACTATATCTATTGATATATAAGTTTAAATTGATATATGTGTAGATATTCAACGTTAGAAACGGTATCTGAAAATGTATACCAGTTTTATGATGAGTTTAGGGATACACCTGAAAGATATGTATTGTTTGTTGTGTCACCCGATTGATGAGCAAACAGTTTAAGGACTAACCAAAAATAAATACCAATATTAACTTTTTAACTTTTTTAACTATTTAATAAATTGATTTTTGTAAATAATATAATATTTATTTAATAATTTCTATTTAATTACAGTTTTTTTTATTAGTAATGATGTTTTGTAGAAAAAATTACATAAATAATTGCAATAATTGTTATTTAGAATATAATATTATTATTATTTGCTAATTATTAAATTATTTGAAAATTGCTAATATTTTAATAATTTAATTATAATATTTAATTTAATAAACTATCATATAAAAAATACATTAATATAATTATAAAACATTCAATTTAATTTCAAACACTTGATTACATTGAACAATGATTTTTTTTAATTTAAACAATTAGAAATGTAAAAATATTTTTATTTAATATTGAAAATTTATTTTACAAAACAAAATAATTGTTTTAAAGTATCTAATGAATAAAAGTAAAATAGAAAAAAATAGTTTTAAAATATAATAAATTCATGAAATAATTATTTTTAATTTGATAAATTATCATTATATTTACAAAATTGAATTAAGTTTAGTATTATTTTTTTTAAATAATCATAACAAAGAATATCCAAATTATTTATGACAATAATATTTATGATAATTTAGTGAAGAATTTTGTAAAAAACATTTATTACAATCATTGACATCACATTTAAATGGTTTAATTCCTGAATGTTTTCTTTGATGTACTAAAAGTCCAGATTTAGTAGCAAATTGTTTGTCACAGTTATTGACATCACATTTAAATTGCTTTATATTCAGATGAAGATATCGTTTATGTTGTTTTAAATTTTTTAAATTTGTAAAATATTTTTTACAGTTTTTGTAATCACACATAAATTGTGGTTCATTTGAATGATCTCTGGATAAGTGTTGTCGTAAACAATGATTTGTTGTAAATGTTTTCAAACAATCGTTTACTGAACACTTAAATTGTTTTTTTCAAATGAGTTAATTTATGTTTTTTATAGTTGACTTTTGTTGCAAATGTTTTATTACAATATTCGACATCACATATTTATAAAAATAATACACATAATATTTTATCACAATACTTATCATTTTTTTTCTTAGTTATTATTAGTAATTAAAAAATAAAATAAACATATATATAAAATATTATATTTAACTTCATTATTTACATTTTACTTTTTTAAATTTATTATACATCAGTATATTTATAACATTTAAACAGCAATTTAAAAAAATTTAATAATAATAATTTTTTTTAATAATTAATTTGTCTGTAGACTGATCAGCTAAATTTAATTATTATAAAAATAATTATTAATGCTATAAAACTATAGCTAAATTATGATATTATAGTTTTTTTTAATAAAAATGGTTTTATCTAATAATATAATTAATTATTATAACTAAATTATTTTTATTAAATTTATTCTAAATTATTAATACAATAAAAATTATAGCTAGATTATATTACTATAATAAATAAATTTTAAATAACAAATATTTTTGTTATAATTATTTACATTAAATAAATTTAACGTTAAACATAAACATAAACATAACGTTAAACATAACGTTAAATAAACTATAATAAATTTTTATTAATAATAACTTATATTTATTACAATTGATCAATAAATTGTTGTTAAATATTTTTTAATCAAAATATTAAGTACGAAAAAAAATTATATTTACAAATATTTAAATTTTTAGAAAAACAAATTTAAATATTAAAAACCATTTATATTTTTAGTAACTATAAATTAAATTATTTATTTTTTTTTGATAATTATTGACTAACTAAATAAATTATTATTTGTTTTTAAAAATATAGTGTACTTTATATATCTATAATAAAGATTACAATTTATTATTGTATACTAAAAAAAATTTCACAAAAAAACTTATTATTAAAAACTGTAATAAAATTTTATTTTACCAATTTATTATCTGTTTATTAGTATTTTTACGATAAAAGTTTTACCATATTTTGCATTATTATCTGTTTGGCTGCCAATTAGCACAATAAAGGCATCTATTATCCTAAATATTCATTAAATAAAAAAATTTACTGAATTTTAATTTGTTTATTAATAATAATTAAAAATATTATCTTTATTTATATAAAAAATTTTAATATTGTTTATGAATTATCAATTACTTCAATAATATAATATGTTTTATGATTATTGTATATATTTTTAATAAACCAATTGATTAATTAAGAATCTAATATATTTAAATATGAAATAGTTTTTTTAGTTTAAATAATTTTTTTATGATTTATATTCACAATTAGTAGAAAATGTTTTATCGCAATACTCGACCTAATATTTAATATTAATATACTTTTCGGTTATTAATTGTGAAAAAATATTTTTATTTAATATTTAAAATTTATTTAAAAAAAACAAATAATTGATTTAAAGTATTTAATACATTTTGAAATTTATTAAATAAAAGTATAAATAAAAAATACTCGATTTAAAACTAAAATGATAAAATATAATAAATTCATTAAATAAATATTTTGATTTTGTTTTTATAAATAATATTTAGTAAAAGAGTAATTAATATAATTATACAAAAATATTTATAAATTAAAAAATTTAATGAGTTTTAATTGATTTATTGATATTTTTAAAAAATATATTTATTTTACTATATTATCATTTTTATGAATTAACAATTACAGTAAATACTAAGTAATTATAATAAGAAAGCTATTATTTTATAATTTATTTATTGAATAGTTTTTTAATAAAATAATTGATTAGTAAATAGTTATTATGTTTATTTTACTTATTTAATAAATTATCATTTTATATAGTATTAAGTTTAATTATTTTTATTAACATATCAAATTAGATCTAAATTATTTTATTCATTAATAAACATTTATTGATTATTATTTGTTAAAAATATTTTTATTTAATATTAAATAAAAAAATTTAGTTTAATAAGCAGAATAATTTATTTTTAAGTATTTAATACATTTTGAAATCTTGAAATTATTAGTGAAATAAAAGTATAAATAAAAAAATACTTGTTTTAAAATATAATAAGTTTCATAAGTATCATTATATTTATTAAATTGAAATAAATTTAGTAATTTTTTAAAAAATCATACCAAAAATAAATCTAAAATTATTAATGACAATAATATTTATGATAATTTAGTGAAGATTTTTGTGTAAAACATTGATTACATTCATTGACATCACATTTAAATGTTTTGATTCCTGAATGTATTGTTCGTTGATGTCGTAAAAGTTGAAAATTTGTTGCAAATTGTTTGTCACAGCTATCGACATAACATTTGAATTGTTTTATACTTTGATGAAGATTTAGTTTATGTTGTTTTAAATTTGCAAAATAAGTGCCACAACTATTGTAATCACACTTAAATTGTGGTTCAATTGAATGATCACTGGATTTGTGTTTTACTAAACAATGATTTGTTGTAAATGTTTTTAAACACTCGTTTACTGAACACTTAAATTGGTTTTTCTTCAAATGAGTTAATTGATGTTTTTTATAAGTGCTTTTATATGCAAATGTTTTATTACAATATTCAACATCACATCTAAATAATTTTTGTTTTAAATGAAATTGAATTTCATGAGTTTTAATACTATATTTTGTCGTAAATATTTTATTACAATTTTCATAATAGCATTTAAACTTTTTATTAAAATGAACGCTAGATTTATGTCGATTTAAATGTTCATTTCTAGTAAAACTTTTGCCGCAATCGTTGACATCGCAAACATATTTAACATTTAAATGTTTATCTCTTTTATGATAATCTAAATATGATTTAGATTTGAATATTTTATTACAATTATAACATTCAAACTGTTTTATAGATGAATGCATTAATTGATGTTTAAATAAATTATATTCATTATATGTTTTATACCGACATTTTGGCCAAAAACATGTGAATCTCATGTTATTGTTATCCACACGTGTGTTGTTGATGATGTCATAACAGTCACTATAATCAGTAATTTTCATAGAAATGCAATCATTTGTTGTTTTGATATTCATTGCATTAAAGCCATCAATTGTTTCAAACAATTCATAGCAATTGTTATTAATTTGTTGTAATTTTAATGATAAACACTTCAATTCATTAAATTTATTTAATTTATTAATAGTTTTCTTTAATAACAACTCCATTATTGTTTAGAAAATATCACTAAAATATAAAATAAATACTATTGTGTTGTTTTTGAT